CGCCGTGTTTTAACTCTTTCTTACTGATCCCAGAGACAAATAGCAGTGGAGGATCACTTCCCATAAACCAAGATTTTAAGCTATTTTAAAACATTTCTCTGACAGAAGAACAATACGAGATGACGAAATGAGGATCCGGATGAAAAGGCAAGAGAATGTGCTGTCAAGGCATAGAAAAAACTCCATGTTAGAAAACCACCAAAGTCAAGCATGATGTTATAGAGTGGCAATGACAAGTTGAAGTCACTCTAAAAAGACAAGATGAGGTAGTTTACAATTCAAGAAATCCAGCACAAGCACAAAGAAATTAGAATTGTCTTTATGAAGCTATCCAAAGAACCTGCACATTGTAATTTTCCAGAACAGTTACTCTTCATTCCTGGGAATTCTACCAAAGTTTAGTCAATTCTCAGTTACCCAGGCAGCGAAAAGTATCTTTTTCTTGTGGTTATACGGTTCAGAATGGAGAATTTTCTTATGGTTAAACTGGTTCTTAACAGGGCTAGGCCTCACCCTCGACTTCCCTAGATTAATTATATCCGAAACTTCAGGGTATGTGCATTTCCAGGACAGAAATCACCACCCTGTAGTGTTAAATAAAACTACACTGCACAGAATACATAGCTCACATGTTAGATGTGCCCCAAGCCTTCTCTGTGGCTAATCTCTTGTCACTGAAAAGTATGTCCTTGTTTCAGAGTTAAAGCCAACCTCACGTTAATTCTTCCAAAAGGGATGAGAAAATGAAAAAGGTGTTAGCAACTCTGATGGCAATAAGTGTTACAGAACCCACAATAATGTCACCAACACTGAACTGGATATGCAACACAGATAATACGCTTTCCACAAACAAGGATTCACTAGATCTTAAGAAATACTTTGGCAAAGAGCCTAAAACAGGGATCAAAATGAGGGGTTCTCAATCCCCACTCACCTGTTTTCTCTCTCAGCGACAGCATTTCTAACCAACCTTCAGTTATCCTTATCTTCTGAAATAAAGCAAGTCCTTGTTGTAGTCCATCTATGGCCAGTTAGCTCAGTTCATCCAAGGTCACAGGTCTTTTCCACATATGAATCAACTGTCACCCTCCTACTGCCCCCAAGTCAGAAATGTGTCCCCATTTATGGTATTTATTACACTGAACTATTCACAATCAGTTCATCCCACATCAGCATCAAGGTTAAGGCCAGAGACTGCGTCTTCTTGAACTTTGTACCCCCCCAAGGCCAAAAAATGCTTGTTGAATAAAAAGAATGTTGACGTACACTCAGGTGGCTGGAATATGGACAGTTCAATACAAATCCACTATTATTAATTGGGTGGGGACACTGATTTCTAAGCATATACTCCTGGATGCAACGCTGGTAATCTCTGTTTTTGAAAACGTAACTGTTACGATTAGCGGTAAAGCCAGCATCAAACTCGAATACACTGGATCCAGACCATTCCTCTCTCCACCCTGCCACAGGTATGCTCACCTGGCGGTTCGATTACAAAGGTACAGATCGCAACAGTGTGATTTTTACTCTAAGAATCTAAACCAAAAGGATGGAATCATGGTGCAAAATGAGCTTTTCCTTTGACCTCATTTGTGAGAAACAAATTCCACATTTCAAATCTGATGACATAACCCTTCCTGGGGTTCTCACGGCATTGCGAAGTAGTATTTTAGGCCCTCAAATTCAAACCCTAAGGGCAAAAACTGCTCCCCAGCCCAGACACAAGATAGATCCCTCTGACCCCTGACCGTTTAGGTGAGCTGGACTAAATGCCAACCCAACAGAATCACAAGATGAAAATCCCAAGCACCTTCCCAAAGGCCCTAGGATCTGACCTGAACAGATGGAAAATGGCCTCCAGGAGGCCAGCTACAGAACAGAAATGAAGACAGTTAAGAATAACCTAACTGCCCAAGCTATGGAAACAGGACTAATCTTTCATCACCAATCAAAAGCAGTTCACACATATGGCTGTAAGACAGCCAAGGACCACCTAGACTTGTGAGCATCAAGGAACACCACCGGCTCAAATGCTCCCTTGAGCAGATGAAAACTGGACTGCAGAGGGAAAATGATACGGCCCTCTCCAGGTTAAAAATGGGTGCTTCCATCAGGACCGATGTTCCTAACAGCTAATCCTAACATGAGGGCATTGGCCCAGAGCTCAGGGCTCAGAAAAGCAGCTACCCTGACCTTGGTAAACTCTGCTGGGCAAGACTCTGCTACTTTCTGTGGAAAGGAAGGTCCTTGAATGTTGATTACAAGAAGAAATTCAGCATCAGAAAGAGGTTTTGAAAGAAGACTAAACACAGGAAAAACATATTTCGAGTACCTGAGACCTAGATGTTTAGGAGTGCTTAGCCCATGGCTACTAACTCTTCTGAGGAGAAAGCCCCATGAAAACAGGTTTCCTTTGAGACTGCAATTCTGCAAGGGCCAGCACAGCTACTCAGCACTAACAAATGCCGGGGGCACAGGCGGGCATCTGGTTTCCTTTCTGTTGAGGGCTGAAATCAATACTGGCCCCTGGCTCCCTACATTCCTACCGAAGCAGCTGTGGGTAGTCAGGGAAAACAACAAAAATCGTGCTGGCAGCACTCAGTACAAGACCATGATTCAATAAACTGTGAACAGAAAACATGGAGTGAAGAGTAAGGTTTTAAAGGGCTGATGAGTTGTAGATGATACTTCGTTGTTAAAAGAAAACCAGGTTTTGATGAGTACCTTAAATATTACCTATAACCACGGCAACCACATGCCCCAGGTTTCTCAGGACCAATCTCAGCACAAAATAATTCCATGGTGTTCTTTGTCCAATGCTAGGTCTTGGTCTTAAAAATACCGTCACTGTAGTTTACAGGCCCACTGCTCCTGGGAGGCACACTGGCTACATGGATAAGAGGTGATTTTCTCCACCTGCAAATCAACAGACCCAGATCACCTCCTGAGGGGCTCTGGCCTACTTTTGTCTTATTCTTGTCTACCCTAATTGATATTCTTGGCTCTTTGTAGGACAAATTTGTTTCCTGACCATCCTTTCTTTCTTTTAGATGCCCATCAGATTAAGTACTAAGCAATTATCTAGCACTTGATCTAGACCTTGAATTCTTTCAGAGTAAAGAAAGATGGAGATAAAAACTCCTACCCACTTGAGCTATGGGTTAGGAGTTCTCACCCAATCACATTACCATTCAGAAGGATTTTCCTGGATGACTTAAACCAAAAGCTTCATTGTTCCAGTCTGTCATGTCACTGCAGCAACAGCTGTCTTCTCAACTGTGCAGTATAATTTTTGACATAATTTATACAAGCACACAGAATTCAATCAGCAGCTGAGCAGGAAAGCAATGGTAACAAATGCTATGAATGGGTATATGATTTGCATATTATTCAGCTCATCTGTGGACTGGAGCAATCTATCCATTCCCCCGATTACTCTGAATCATCTAGAAATGGCTGAATGCTCCTGGCCAGACAGCTACATGTTTTAAAAATCAAAAGCAACAACAAAAACAACCTCAATGGCTGGTGAACTCTAGAGTTAAGGCTATTTCAAGCATTTATTCTTAATTCCTCAGCTTTGGACTGGGACACAGATGCTCATAACCCTGCTATTTCCTTACTTTTAGTCTTGTTTCTCTAGCCACCCTCCCCCCCCCCCAACTGAAAGAAAATGGTTAAAGAGAATTAGGGCATTTCTTGGGGCACAAAGGCAGAAGGATATGGTAATAATCTCTCAATATAATGGCAAAGCAGGAGGAAGCCAAAAGTGAAATCTTTTGCTGAGTAGGGACAGAAGGTTGTGCCAGCATGCTAATGCCAGGGCCTGTCACTCTAAGGTGATAGTCTTCCACAGAAATGCATTTTTAAAAATAAGATACAACAAAGAGTTTGAGGGTGGAAAAAGGGAAGAGTATTATAATACTTTGGGGACTCTTGGTGGCAAATCCAGGAGTCAACAAAGCAGGAAATTTAGGACTATAAACACTATGAATATTTAAAATTTGATGTTGTGGCCGATGGCTCCCCTCCAAGAATTCCCCACTGAAAATAATGGTATGGAGGGGACACTTGGGTCCACGGAGAAGTGAGAGTCAGGTCTGAAGCCTCTTTGGTAACAGGAATGCTTTGGGAGGCCACAAAAGTTGGCAGGGCTGGAGGGTGCCTAGCACCTTGGCACAAGCAAGCACCAGGCAGTCACTCACACCTACATAAATATATAGTCCAAATGTGAGGGATGGAAGGAAATAATACATATATACCATATGTGATAATAAAGACAATTATATCCTACCCCATCATCCTCATGTACTAATAGCTAAAAATCTCCACAGTTAATATTCTTGTCATTGTATGACCGACTACACCACCTTGCAGAAGTAGAATCAAGGATTGATAAGAAACAAGGCCAAAAGTCCTGGAGCTAAGAGTGCCTTGACAAATTTGAGTGTAAAATTTCAAGTCCTCCAAAGGATGGAGCTATTCTGGGAGGATGAGTGGGGATGAACAACAGAGGGTGGCCCAGAAGACCACACCAGGAACCCTGTATTCTACTGGGTAGAGCTGAATGAGGTTGGGAAAGCCCCAACAGGTAGGCAGTTGCTATTGGCTTTTTAAAAAGATGGGAACATCTTTTCCATCCCAACATCTCAAAACAAAAGCTAGCTGGTCATCAACATGTTCTAAGAACCAAAGCAAGAAACCAAAATTCATCATCATTATAACAAAATCCCCCAATCTAAAAAGCAACTAACCCTGAAAAGATCAAGACTCTAAGATGTTTAAAAAGTTAAAACTCATCTTGAGGTCACAGGGGAGCAGAAGGAAGAGATCAGGGCAAAGGAAAAAATTGTGGGAATTACACACAGTATGTAAATGCCTGGTCTTCACAGAGAGACACTTATCATGAATCAGACCATCAGTTATGTTACAAGAGAACCAATACCAACATTTCTCCTGTGGAGCACAGTGATAAGCACATTTTTTATGGATGTGTTTAGGATAGAACAGGGTGGGCAGAAGGGAGAGGAGGCAGGGAGGTGAATGTATTATATACAAAGAGAAATGACAGAGACCACCCCCTCCTTTAGCTCTTTGCTGTTTCTTTCTCTTTGTTTTCCGCGTCCTCAGGATAGGCATGCCACGTCAGTCTCTCTTCATAAAATGCTATCACAATCTGTGGACATTTTACATTAGCTTCTTTTGCAAGAACCAGGTCTGCTTCATCTGTGTCTTTCCTGGAGAGAGAGAATATGAGACTTAGAAGGAGAGGAAGTAAGAATGAGAGATAATCTATCTAAACCAAGGTTTATGTTGTTATATGGATTTAACGGACTTGATTTCCTCTCCATCTTGATTTCAAGGTGAGAAGGACCCTAACAGCTCAATATTTTCAAGGAGAAATTCAAGTAAATAAAAATTACCAGGGAGTATCATTTAACTACCACATCAGACAGAAACAGAAGTCTTCAGCTAGAACTCAGATGAAAAACAGAAGGCTTAATCAAAAGGCTGAAAATGAAATTATATAAATTTCGCTCCTGTAATTCTGATTTGTGTGTATGAGCATGTGAGTGAACACACGATCAAACCTACATTCAGTCCTATTGATTATGCACAGATTGATCAACCCAGTTTCTGGATCATCTGAGTGAAAAGGTCTTAACCTTCCTCATCTTGTGGCCTTTTAAACACTCATTGTCCTTTTGGAGAGAACTATGGATTGGAATAATAAGAAAACAGAAATTTAAGTCAGCAACAGTACTTATACAAGGGAGAATAAAGGAGAATGTAAAATTTAGTCACTAAAATGAAATGTAGGAATTAACTGCAAATTTCAATTATCCAAGTTTACAAAGGCTCTACTACCATGTAGGACAGAAAAACACAGCAAGTCTTAACCAGGATTCCAAATCAAGAAAAAAAATATTTTAAGTTAAAATTCCACCGACACTTGAGCAAAGACAACTACCTCCTTTTCTAGAAAACGGAGATATTTAATTCATAGCGGTAAGTATTACAGATGAAAAGAGGAGGGGAAAACACACAGCTCAGAGCAGATACTCAAATTTGGACTGCGGTGGGGAAAAAAAGCTAGTTAATATGTGAATGTAAATCGTGTAACGCATATGGCTGAGTGGGAAAAGCAGTCAATACAGCTCCTTACTTCTGACAGAGTATAATGATTCTTCAAATCTAGGCTTCTGGGTAATTTACCAGCAAAATTTCGATCAGATAAAATATTAAACCTTTTGATTCTACAACTTTTAAGGTAAATTAGCTTCCTCAGCAGCAATGCAGCATGAAGCCTCTATTTAGAGACCAAGCTTAAATCACAAGCCCAGAATACTTGGAAACAGAGAGGTGGTGAGGGCCACACCATAAATCACCCTGTCTTTAAGAAACCAAATTGAGGGGAAGTAACTACACTTTCCTCTAAGAGACATTCCCTCCACCGGATGAAATAACTTATGCTTTGGCTAGTATTAGTCTTAAAGCTTTTTGTTGAGATTATTTTTCTCTTTTAGACATCATTCAGTTGTTTTGATCCTCAGTGATGGCAGAAAGCCTCACTCAACTCCCATCTCATGGCCACAGGCTCATGGTCTGATGGTAAATGATTCAGAACTGTGTAAATAAATGGTTAGGTCATGTCTATAGGGTTCCTACCTAAAGCTACCTTAGGTATTGGGGCTAATGTAATTTGGCTTAATACCAAAGCTTGGGAATATCTTAAATTCATTCTCGATCATAATTCCCGTTAATACTAATAGGTGATATGAGCCAAAGATCTTTGACAATCAAAACTCTTCGTTGGGAAATACCCGGTCTTCCCTATCTTCCATACAAACTCAAGTCACTGGCAAAGAAACACAATTGTACACTGAGGCCCAATCTCTCTCACCATTTCATTAGGAACATTAAATCGCCACAGGAATCTGTCGCCCCAATGATCTTTTCTGGTTCCAGTCCTCTCTCAAAGCCCCGAGCGATATCATTGCTCTGCTATAAATAGAAGATAAAGAAAGTTTACAGCTTGGAGAAGAGTAAAAAAAAAAACCCTGTTTCTCAGCTCAACAAAGCACAACCTAAGTTCATTTTGTCACCAATTCAAAGAATTCTTAGAACTTAAGAAATACAATAGTGGGCCAGCCAGTGACAGTGATGCTAAGAGGTATTTTTGTAAGAAGATGCAGTTGTCTTTCTAATACTCCTTCACAGGATTAGGAAATGGCCCCCAAAACTCTTTCATATCCCGTAAGACATCCTGAAATCATCATCTAGGAACTCATCTAACCCTGTAATCAAACCTCCTTGATATTATGAATTGACTACCCCTACAATGCTGCTTCCAAGATGATAAACAAGTCCATGCTTACCTGAACTAAACCCTTTTTCGCTTTATAAACTTCAAATATACCACCTCTTAATTTTTTAGACATTTAGTTTAACAGTGACCGATATTTCTAATACTTTTTTTCTTTAACATAGTCCTCTATATGTATGAAAGAACAGCAGTAAGAATGATTCAAGGCAGTACCATAAAACAGCAAATTTCTTTCAGAGCTCACATACTGCAATACCCACATGCTTGGAGAAGAGGGCCTGGTCTATGCCCATCCCCTCCTGAAGGAGAGAACAGAACTGTTCATTAGAGAACAGAACTGGACAGTGATTTAAAACAAACTGATCATTTTCTAGATTACTCAAACTTGGCCAAAATGTAATCATGCAATCAAGACAAGAGTACACCCGACTCAAGGGTGATGGCACTGGTTGCGAGCAAAATGGTGAAAATTTAGACAAACCAGGTAATTTTAAAAACCTTATTATAGAAAATAATGCAAACTTATCTAGTGGCAACATAAAAAAGATTTAGAAAGACTGCCCAAATGAACTAAATCTCTGATGTCTGATTTTCATAATAAAATCTCTTTGATCTGACATTCACCCTGCTTTTTTCTGAGATACAAAGTATTCAGGATCCAGGTGGTCCCCAAAGATACCAGAACCCACACTGGGAAGGAAATTCCATGCACGGATCAGGGGAGATACTGACTCAAAAACACAGCCTCTTTTGGGGGCGCTTAAGGGGAGGAGGTTCCCAGATGTGCACACAGCTGCTCACAGCTGGAATGCTGGCGCACGAACTGAGTCGTAAATCATAGCTGGCGGCTGAAAACAGTTTGCCACATAGGGAGGGAAGGGAAGAAAAATGTTCAAGCTGCTGAAAAGGAGCCGAGGCGAGGAAAATGCTAAAATCATCACACAGGCAGTAATCTTAAATCAGGCATAATGCCGACTAACAAATTTCTTCTGCAGTGGTCTAAAGAAAGAAACGTAATCCCCTCCTGTATCTTTAAAACATACAATCACCTATCTTTCTGGCTGCCTACCTGACAGCCGGGAGCACTGCTGAGAACGCTGTCAGGGGCCCCAGATGAACATCACAACGTAAGGGACGTGTGGGGGTTGTTTTCAAGGTCAGTGGCATCAGAACCTGGCCTCGGAAGACAACTCTCTATGCTGGCCAGTAGGTCTAAGCCAGATTGTTCCTTTCAAAAGGACAGAAACCTTATGTTGAGGAAAAACAAACTATATGGCACAAATGGCTAGTCACAAGTCTTACACTGTGCCATTTGGTCTCTTTACTTACCTAGAAAATGAATCAAATGACAAAAAAACAGAATACAAAGGACTAATAAAAAAGGAAAAAAAAAAAAAAAAAAAAAAAAAAAAGAACCAAGTCTTAGCTCCTTAGAGAAGGGAAGGCATTCTCAAATCCTCATCAGTACACTATACCATAATGATATACACCCCTCACCAGAATAGTTTTAAAAAATAAGGTTGTAAAAAATAAAATTAATCAGGGAAACAAATAAGGAGACAAACACAAACCCAGAGTCCACTTTCACTTGTAGCTTCCAATCTTTTACTCTTATTTTCAATTCTTTTGGAATGCTGATCTCCCCTTTTCTCTATCACTTATATATAGGTCCTTGATGCCTAGGGGTCTGACCCACAGAAATCTAAATGTAATTGGTCTGGGGTGCATCTTGGGTACTGGATCTTTTCTTTTTTTAAGCGCCCACCCCCCCCACCCCCCGGTGATTCTAATATGCAGCCAGGGCTGAGAACTAATGTTCTAGAAAAATGGGTACCAAGTAGAATGAAGATAAATAGAGACGCTTATGGCAGTGATGCTGAAGATTGAGAAGTGGACTTATGCTTTTATTTTATTAAACGTTAAGGGTATGATACATCCTTCAACACAAAAGGCTTCATAACCTTGAAATAAACGAGTGGAAGCTGGTGGGGTGTGTGTGTATGTATGTGTGTGTACACAGATAGATGAAAAAAGAGAGGTAAGAACAGTGCTTATGCTAGTTATTTGAGAGCTGAAGATCAGAAGGATTAAAGCAACTGAATCAACCAATATTTCATAAACACACTTTCCAAACTGAACAATAAAAAGATTCAAGAGATGAAAATTAATTTATTTGGAATATGTAGAATAAGATCAAAAGAGAAAATACCCATGCCACTGAACTGTACACTTTAAAATAGTTAACTGTATGTTATGCGAATTACACCTCAATTTTAAAAAGCAAGAGAATATAAAAGTTTGAAAGTAAGTGCTACCTTTGGAACAAAAGGAAAAAAGTAAAGTAGTAAACATTTTAAAGCCCTTTTTTGTAGACTTAAAAATGTCAAGTCCCTCCCCATCTAAGATAACCTAGCTGCCTTACTCGTGGAAAAGACAGAGAGTGGCTGCCTGTTTTAGAGGGATTTAATTTTGCCACCTTAATACAATTCAGTGAAACGCATACAGTATTACATTTCTCACTCAGCCAGGAGAGGGCGCTGTAGTCAATAAACATATCTCCCTGGAAGCTCTTTTGTTCAACAAATTACCTTGCAGACCATCCTTAGAAAAGAAACAACCATAATAAGGCTGGGGGGGAGGGGGGGCGGGGGCGGGGCGGCAGGGGGAGGGTGGGCGAGTGGCAAAACAATTGTTTGTGGGGAAAAGGGAAAAGGAAGCTTACCTCTCTCTTTTTTTTGGATTTGATATCATCAGCATTGTTCGAGAAATTGGATTTCCTCTTGTTACTTTCTGACTTCTCCCTGGGTTTGTTATTTTCACCCTCCTTCATCTTCTTATACTTTTTCATAAACTCAGAAATTAGCTCAGGGCAATCCAAATTTTTCTCAGGTTCCCAAGTATTGTGCTCCCTGGGCACAAAGAATGGAAAGAAAAAGAAAAAAAAAAAAGGAAAGAATGAGGGGGAAAAAAATCGAATGCTTTCTTAAAGACAAGTAGGCAAAACGAAAAAAAAACCTATACTTAAAAGAGATAATAAATTTGATCCCAGGATCTATCCAAGAGAAATGAAAAAATATATCCACAAAGAAACTTGCACACAATTACTTACAGCAGCATTTTAACAGCCAAAGACAGAAAACAATTCAAATGTCCATCAACTTGTGAACGGATGAATAAATGCGGTATATCTACACATAATACTATTCAGCAACAAAAGAAACGCAATACTAATTAATACATGCCACAATATGAAAGAACCTCAAAAATAATAAGCTGAAAGAAACCAGATGCAAAAGGCTATATATTATTGGATTCCATTTATATGAAATGTCCACTAAAGACACATTTAGAGACAAAAAGCAGACCAGTAGTTCCTCGGGGCTGAGGTTTGGGATTAACTACAAATGAGTTCAAGGGCATCTGGGGAGATTATGGAAATTCTAAAAGTTGAGTGTGGTAATTAATAGTGGCTACACAACTCTATGAATTTACTAAAATTTGTTGAATTGTACATTTTCAATGAATGAATTTTATGGTATGTAAATTATACCTCAATAAAGCTTTTAAAAACTCAAACATGAATTCTGCTTCTAAGTGGCAAAATGTGATTTCATACCTATGAGAATCCTAAGGAATAACATAGTAAGACCTGCACCCCCAGTTTACACTATCTAACTTTACTAACTTTACTTATTTTGAAGAAATATCAACAATTATTGAAGGACTGAAAATAATTATTAAGAAAAAAGGTAGTGACAGCTTCAATCATTAGAATATAGGCAAATGGTAGGAAGACAACTCAGAAGTGGGATTTGGAATGTATTATTCAATGCTATGGATTCAAGACTACTGTTACTAGTCAAAATGCATTTTTATATTAATAAAAAAACCCAAACTGAATAAATGAGTTTAATTAAACTTGGATCATGGGAGTCCCATTAAGGGAAAAACAAACAGTTATTATTCACAAAGTTGTTCTATGTATTCCTGGCATGGGTTTTGGAAAACCAAACTACCAACTGCATCAGAAGCTTATGGAATCAAAGCATGAAATGTACCTACATGGGAAAAACCAGACCAGGCATCCTTTTCACTCCTAGCCAGTGGCAGAAGTTCTTTTGGTTAACAGAGTATTACTAGTTTATATTAAAGTACACCTAAAAATGTATTTTAGTTGTAGGATGATTAATGATTATATGTGAATGAAAACGATTTAAAATGTAGAAAATGATTTCTACAATCCTTTCACTGACTTGGGAAAAAATTATTTAATGTATGCACTATCATTTTAAATATTGTTTTTTAAATAAGGTGTCTTTAGATGGGCATGGTTTGAACACATGCCAGAATAACTTGACTTAAATAAGCAGAATAATGGAAAAATCTGGTATTTACTCTAGATTTAAATAACCTTCTGCAAAAAGAGCTTGAGAATAAGACAAAATGTATTTCAAAATCATCTGAGCTAAAACTAGAAAAGACTCTCCTTCATAGCTCTTCTTTCAGCAAAAAACAAAAAACCACCTCATACAGTAACTTTCCCCCAAATCCACAAACCATATAGCTTACTATCCCAGAAGAAATTAAGACACCAAAAGCAAGAGGCATGCCAACACTGTGACACAAGCAGGCAGACATGGGGGGATAGGACAGAGTCTCTACTGACAGCAAGGCAAGCCGGTCCTGTAATGCTGTAATAGGTTTACCTCTTCTCCTACCATATTAGTATTGCTGCTTCTACATCAACCAATTTTCCCCCACAAGACAGCATGATATAATTTAAAAAGAGCCTGGGCCATCAGGGCCAAGAAATCGGATACTGGATCCTTGTGCCAGCACTTAACCAGTGCCAGATGCTTACACTATCTTCGGCAAATAACTTCGCTAACTTCCTCATCTGTAAACTGAAAATACTTCCAAAGGCTGTTATGAGAATTAAAGAGAACACATGAAGTAAAATCTGACCGTTGCCTAACAAGCAGTAGGTACTTAATTATAGACAATGCTGAAGTGGGCAAAATTTGTTCATCTTTAATGAAATCCTGGGCATTTCTGAGAAAGTAAGGACAATTGCTTTAATCCATCTACCTCAAACTGTCTTCCCCCCTTTAATCTATGTAAGCTACCAGTAACTCAAATACACATATAGTTTCAAGTACCTTTAAAACGACCAAGAGTTTCCAATGGTGATTCACTGGGCCCAATAAACACCCTTAAAATCTTTCAGTGTTATTTTCTTTAAAGTTTATTCACTTATTTAAGTAATCTCTATACCCAATGTGTGGCTCAAACTCAGGACCCCAAGAATAAGAGTCGCACACTCCACTAAATGAGCCAGCCAGGCACCCCTCCGTATTATTTTAATTCCTATTCCTTGGTCTGTCCAACTTGTATTTCTCATCTCTAAAGGATGCTGTGATACCATTCCTCTTCAGAAATATGAAGGGCATATTCTCATTGCTGTGCTACCTGTGGTGCTGTGTGCTAGAGATGCTAAGCATCCTGTAGTGCACGAGCTGTCCCACCTAAAATGCCAAAAGTGCTCCAAATGAGAAATGTTGACTTACGTACGAAATAACCTTAAGTATGTTCTATAGGCTCCTGATTCAGACCTTTGTCCAAAGACACTGTCAAAACTTCAACCTTTTTAGTATCTTGAAGCCCTACACTTTAATGTTAAGATGTTTGGTATGATAACAATTAGCCACAAGCGGCTTCTGAACGCTTGAAATGTGACTAGTCTGAACAGAGATGTGCTATAAAATATACATCAGGTTTTTAAGACAGCATAAAAAACAATGTATGATATTTTAATCTTTAGACTGATTAATGTTGAAATAGCATTTTGATACACTGTTAGATAAATTATTAAAATTAATTTCACTTTTTCGTTCTTCCAAGATTTCATTTAAATTCAAGTTAGTTAACATGTAATATAGTATTGGTTTTAGGAGTAGAATTTAGTGAATTTCACTCTTCTTTAATGTGGCCACCAAAAAATTTAAAATTACACATGTGGCTTGCATTAGATTTCTATTGGACAGCCACTCCAAGAAGCCTACATCACTTTCTATCAGTTCACTGGGGTTCTGAGAAATCCATTCTTTGTTATCAGGCATCCTCGGAAGGGAATTAATCAGAAATTGAGGCAAAATGTCTAACGATTACACAGCCTCACATACTTCACCTTTCAAGCTACCTCTTCTGTGCTTCAATATATGTCTAGTTCTATTTCTTGCAAAGAATAATCTCCTTTAGCACTTCAGCATAAAGCCAGATACTTCCTAACAGACATTCCAATCAATACCTCAGTATCACTTGTTTTGTTTGTAATGTTTATTTATTTTGAGAGAGAGACAGAGAGAGAGAGA